CCCTACGGGGAGTCCTCGACTTAGCCATTCATTTAGTGACCGCTCAGAGTTACAGCGGCACTGAAAAAAAGGGACTTGTGACCGTTTTTCACACTGCACAACAGTCATTTTGCAGCCTCCCCACGGTCAGGTGATCAAAATTCAGACGCTTGGCAAACGGGTCATATTTACAACGGTCGCAGTGTGTCCCTGGGGTCATGTGACCCCCTTTTGCAACCTTCTGGCGAGCAAAGTCAACAGGGGAAGCCAGATTCACTTAATGACTGTTAACTGCCTTAACGGCTGCAGTGATCTGCTTAAGAGCCGTGGCCAGAAAGGTCGTAAAGTGGGGCAAACCTCACTTAACCACTGTCTCGCCCAGCAGTGGAAATTTTGAGCTCAAGATACAGGACCTACGTACGGCACTTAATTTCCCACAAATCGTCATGGGAGTACGACAGAATTTCCTACACGTCTCACTTGAAAGCTTCACATCGATTACTGTGCCGGTGACATTTAGCTGTTAATTGTTGCGTTGGTGTCAACACAGCTAACATTGGATGTTCTTGCTTTGACAACATATGAAGATGCAGCCTTTTTCTTTCTTGTGCTTTACTCTTAGAATTAGATGATGTTTGGGGGAGGAGGCGGAATGTGGCGGGAGTGAGTTAGACATAACCATATTGTACTAGTGTGTGAATTCAGAGCTTGAAATAAGAGTGATAAGAATTGGCAGGCTGGAGAACTGGAGGGGAAGCCTGCATTTCAAACTAATTGGAGAATGTGATTTATGACTGTTAATTGGAGGAGGGAATTGTGCTTTGATACTATGTGCTCGGGAGGGAAATCCAGTTTTTGGCTTCAACTATGTTAGTGCCGAAGCTATGCTACTCCGATAAAGATTCTTTAAGGTAAACAATGCCTCGAAGTTCTTTGAAGAGTTTCATCTGTCAGAACCGTGGTTCAAACCACATCGGTTTTCCGCTGAGGAAAGGCAGCTGTAGCACGTGGTCGTCTTTCTCTCCTCCTCAGGGCGTTTTGTGTGAAGAGAACATGAGAGGGGTTCGTTTTGACATTCAAGACGTGACTCTCCATGCTGACGCGATCCATCGCGGGGGAGGACAGATCATCCCGACGGCCAGGAGGGTCTTGTATGCTTCTGCCTTGACTGCCCAGCCACGTCTGATGGAACCCATCTACCTTGTGGAGATTCAGGTAACAGCCAGGGGTCAACTTGGGACGAGGCGTTGATGATCCCCATTGGCGTTCAGAAGAGCCAGCCAAGGCTGGTATTCCCACGTTCCTGCGACAGGTTTGATGTAGTTACGGTCGTGCCGAAATGAGATTCAGGGTCAGCTGGCTCTCCTCAATTCCGAACTCAGCCATGTGTCCCTCAAGCAACTTGGGACGTGGCACACTTCTTTGCACTGGCTATTTTTGCTCCTGTTGTGTTCAGTTTGTTGTTGAATTTCCTGAGGTCCTTGATCCGGGTCATCTTTAACAAAGGTCCCCAACCTGTGGGCTATGGCCCAATATCGGACTGTGGCCTCTTGACCCCTGGGCCATGTGAGTGACTGGCCAGTGCATTCGAGCACCCCCGTGCCTTTGCGCCGGTGCTAGCCAAGCTGCGAGTCTTTCGCTGGTGCTAGCCCAGCCACGATCCGTGAGCCTCTCACCGGTGCTAGCTGAGCTGCGAGCTGGTGCTAGCCAAGCTACAAGCCGCACACCAGTGCTAGGCAAGCTGTGAGCCTCTCACTGGCGCTAGCCGAGCCATGATCCGTGAGCCTGTCGCCAGTGCTGAGCTGTGAGCCTCTCGCTGGCGCTAGCCGAGTTGTGAGTCTCTCGCTGGTGCTAGCTGAGCCACGATCTATGAGCCTTTGCCGATGATAGTTGAGCTGTGAGCTGGCGCTAGCCAAGCTAAAAGCCACACACCAGCACTAGCCGAGCCACGAGCCTTTCGTCGGTGCTAGGCAAGCTGTGAGCCATGAGCTGGTGCTAGCTGAGTTGTGTGCTGCGTGCTGGTACTAGCAGCCCCATTTGCTGCTCGCGGCCCCGTTCACACGCAGCCACATTTACGTGTGTGCGCATGCATGTATTGTATAAAGGCTGTCAACCCAGAAAGGTTAGCATCCCCCTGCTCTACAGTGTAGTTAAGCTAAGCTGTTTTTAGGGAGGGTGGAAAGAGCAGCGTAGTAAAACCCTATGGAAAATATGCAATAAAATAGCTATTATGTAAGTTGCATTCTAAATTTTCCCCCTCCCCAGAATATTTCCTGACTTTGCCACCAGGCGCTGCTATGTGTGACACAAACTTAAAAGAACACCATGATTTCTCAGTTGCCTGATAAAATTCAGGGACTGAATGATGCACTTAAGGGAGGATTATGGGTCCTGTTCTAATGGTGGCTTGGTTTCTGCTAATGCGTGAGAATTTCCACTACTCGGATTTCTCTAGCCCACAGGTCGGCAACCTGCGGCTCCAGAGCCGCATGCGGCTCTTTGAGCCTTCCCCCTGTGGCTCCCAGCCTCCTCTGCCAATTGCAGAGAGAGACAGAGACAGAGAGAGGCACTTGCGCTTCTCTGTCTGTGTGTGTGTGTGTAAAAGAGAGTGGACTCACTGTGTTCTCCAACAAGCTGAAAATCTTTTTGGGCATGGCTCCTCCCTTTGCTGCATCTCTGCAGGAAGCAGGAAGGGCAGGAGAGAGAGCTAGCTAGCCCAGCTATGCTGACTCAGGAATTCTGGGAGTTGAAGTCCATGAGTCATAAAAGAGCCGAGGTTGCCTACCCCTGAGCTTGTTGGAGAACAGCTTGAAGCCAGCTTGCCAGGTGAGCAGAAGATTGGGGGGAGGGGGGAGAGAGAGATAAAAGGTAAAAAAGGATATATGCAGTGTTATCTTCCTTTTAGATATCAAAAGGCGTTTGAAGCTCCCAGTGTTTTGTTTTTGGTGGGAAACGGGTCCAAGTGGCTCTTTGAGTGTTTTGGGTTGCCTACCCCTGCTCTAGCCCATCACCAAGGTATCCCCAATGTTAAAAGAGGCTTTTTAGCATGCTAAAAGATTCTCCGACTGGTTTGAGTGGGAAGGTGGTAGAACATGCAGGTCTATTTCAGCCCACCGTTTTAAGAGAAACTTCACCCCTTCCTCAAATTTGTCTTTTTTTTTTTTTTCCTCCTAGTGCCCGGAACAAGTAGTTGGGGGCATCTATGGTGTGCTGAACCGGAAACGGGGCCACGTTTTTGAGGAGTCTCAGGTAGCCGGGACCCCAATGTTTGTGGTCAAAGCGTATCTCCCGGTGAACGAGTCTTTTGGTAAGAGATCTCTCTTCAACGTATTATCCAGCTTGCCCAAAACCTTCCTGAAGTCTGCGCAGCCAGTTCCTGAAGAGGGTCCTCACCTTACGGACCGTAAACCGCTCAGAAACCACTGCAAAGCCGTGTGGAGCGGTATATAAGTCTTAAGTGCTATTGCTATAATTGAACCGAGGATTACGGTGGCAAGTTGTGCCGGATGTTAAGTAGGTCCACGTGACCTCAACTGAATTTACCTTTTTTTACAGCGGTTATTAAGTGAATCGCCCTGATCATTAAGCGAGTCAGTTACCTGCAATGGACATTTTTGGCAGAAACTGGAATAAATGTCAGCTTTTGACAACACATGGTAAATTATGGTCCTGCGACTATAAAATCCTGCAAATAGCCAAAAATGGAGGCTAGTTGCCAAGTACCCAAAATGTGATCACATGACCAGGGGGATGTCTAGGGACATCCCCCGTCCTCCAGGTCATGATTGTCCCAAGAGTCACTCCCAGGCATGCCCCCACTGGAGCAGTGCAGCCAAGGACATGGCAGCTGAGCAGTAGGGACAAGATTCCGCCCTTGCGCCCCATCGCAAACAGATGATGCTACAGGACACGGGTGGAGGGCGTGGTGACCATGGCGCTGCTTGGCCACCTGGGCAATCAGCGGTGGGCCATGGAGGTGGTGGGTGGCCCTGCAGGTGGGTGGGGGCAGGGCAGTTTTGGGGCACTCGGTCTCTAAAAGGTTCGCCATCACTGTTTTAGAGGGTCATTGAGGCCACCTGGAGGTTTAATCTGTCCCCAGGGTCACCTGAGTGGTGCAAATGGAGAGAGGACAGCCCTCAACAAAGAGGGAGGATAGGACATCATCTATCTCCCGCCTACAACACTGTCCTTTCAGCAGTTCCAAGAAGGTTCCACATCCATGTGCACCACTCAGGTGACCTTGAGGACACTAGCAGTCCTGTTCGTGCATGTGGCATACGTGTGCATACAGCTGCACCCACCCACCCAGGGCTGCGTGCAGAAGGGGAATGCGCATCCACAGGTGCACACAACGGCCAGCCATTTCGTGGCCTGGCCAAGAACCCACAGCCCGGGAGCGAGCTGCGGCCCATAGGTTGGAGACCCCCGGTGTAAGTAACTTAACCACTGCAATGGTTTTCTTAACTGTGGCAAGTAAGGTTGTAAAATGGGGCAAAATTCACCGCTCAGCAACGTTTGGGCTCACTCGTGGTCATAACGCCAACTTGTGAAGCACCCTTAGGCCACGGCAGTCTTCCTGCAATATGGGCTGCGGTGGTACAAAGGTCATCTTCTCTCCTCCTTCTTCCTTGTAGGTTTCACGGCCGACCTGAGATCCAACACGGGGGGGCAGGCTTTCCCGCAGTGCGTCTTCGATCATTGGCAGATCTTACCCGGAGATCCCTACGACGGCAATTCACGCCCTTTCCAAGTTGTGGCCGAAACACGTAAACGCAAAGGCTTGAAAGAAGGCATCCCACCCCTAGACAACTTCCTGGACAAATTGTAACTTGCTTCCTCCAGGCGGGCGAGGGGCGTCTACGACAATTTGCCCAATTTCCCACCCCGGAATCGGGATTGCTTCCCAAGAACCAAGGAAGAAATGGGGAAACCGGACAAACCCAAATGGAGAACACAAACCAGCCATCTTAAGCAATTATGTCACGTTCGCATAATGAGAAATAAAAAGTGTTGTTGTTGAATAGAATTATCGAGTCGGGATTTTTATTTTCTCCATTCCACTCGACGGGTTTTCTGGCGAGAATTTCTGAGACACAGTGATTACATCAGGTTTATGCAAATTCAGCGGCTTCTGTTGCCCCAGTACGTATCATCCCTTGCTTAGCCCAGGAAAGGCTGCTTCTAAAAGTTGGGAGAAAAGATTGCAAAAACAATCCAGCATGGCATTTTTATTTTGTCTTTAAAATCCCCCACGTGCTAATTGCATCACTTCATCAAAAAGTATGGCTTAAACTTTCATGGATTCAGACGCCTGAACATTCAGCTCTGAAACAAAGAGGATTTTTTTTTAAAAAAAAAAAAAAAATTCCCAAGAGACGTCGCCTGAGTTTTTAGTGTATCTCTCCGGGACTTTTAGAAGCCACAGCACAGCAAGTTGAAAATGACGGGCGGGGAAAAGTCCTTTTGAACAGCACTGAAAAAGAGATTTCAAAAAGTAGCAAAGGGTGTTGTTGCGTTGAACCAAAGGCTCAAAAAGAGACAGAATCAGATTCATGGATAGAAAATTAGCGGACACGGATGAAAGGCAAGCTTAAAAAAAGTGACAGCCGTCTGGCACAGAACAAGCGTCGTTTGGGACAGAATGTCTGCAGGGAAATCACACCTTCCGTCCTTTTAGGCATTATGTGTGGCCCAGATACTCTATATAAATATTAAGACTTGGCGAGGCTAGGAAGTGCAAAAGATTGATCCGGCAATGCCCTTGCATGTTTAGGAACACAGTCGGATAAAAGAAGAAACAAGACTTTCGCAAGGAAGTTAAAAGGCAGGGCGGGAAAGCACCGCGTGCGCGGGAAGAATTTCATGGTTAACAAATTCGGAAACGTTTCAACAGAGTAGGGAGAAAAACAGGGAGTTGAGAGCTTTTCTTAACCTCATCTATGCTGCCTCAAAATGCTTCCCGTCCGACGATTAAAGAGAAACGGGAAGTTTCGTTAAAAAGGTTCGCAGGACCCCCTAAGGCGTGAATGCCGACCTGACCTCGGGAATAGAAACTAGAACATGCAATTTTTCAGGATTTGTTTTGATGGATCCAGGCCAGGGGTGTCCAACCTTGGCCACTGTTAAGACCTGTGGACCTCAACTCCCAGAATTTCCTAGGCAGCCATGCTGGCTGGGGACTTCTGGGAGTTGAAGTCCACCGGTCTTAAAAATGGCGAAGGTTAGACACTCCGGCCTAAGTAGTGGCTGCTTCTGTGCTTTTGGAGACCCTTTAAACACCGCATTCGATAAAAACAAGCTGGCCCTTGAGGGTCCTCGGGTACAAAAATCGGACAGTGGGAAAGCACTTTGCAACGGGGGAGGGGGGGCTCCTCTTGGAAGATTCCCAGGATCACAGATGCTGCACAAGGAAAAGAGCAGCGAAGCTGCTTACTTACGAAATACTCAGGACCTTATCTACCAAGGATGACACTCTTGAGCAATGCTCTTCCTGGGATCGTTTTGGCAACTTCATTTTGCCCCCCCCTCCCCCAAAAGCACAGCTGCTCACGATGCTCAAAAGCTTTCATCTGCTTCCTTCGATGACTTTTTTTCCCCTTTCTTCCACCCCCTCAAAAAAAAAAAAACCCCGATGATTCTTCCTGGCTCATATAAGCTACTCGGATTAAACAACTCTTAAAAGACAACTGAGGGCCAATCTTCCCGCTAGCCACGATCGGAGCGATAGCAAGTTCAATTTCATGATTCTTGTGCAGATTAAAAAAAAAAAATTAAAGATGCTAAGGCCCCATCCAGAGGCCCCGAAGCACCAGCTATTTTGCAAGAGCTGAAGGCGCCATTGCTGCCTCGCCCTCTTCCTCTTGCGAGAACGGACGACCCAACCTAAAAATTAAACGTTGGAACATCGTATTCACATTTTTTACAAACACGGATTAGATGGATGGAAACGGACTTTGCATAGCATTCTTTTCCTCCCAGTTCTCACAGAGCTGTTGTTGGTTTTTTTGCACTTGCAACTGATGGGTTCCAGGAGAGCGCGCACTCCTAAATAGGAACACCATTTCAGATTTACGAGAGGGATTACGATCTCACTGAAGAGGAAAGGAAGAGGTGAACACTTTATACAACCGTTAAGTTTGCAAAGTTGCATCTTTTCTATTAAAGAATTTCTTTCCGGGCCCACAGCAAAAAGGACAAGAATTCCCCCCAAATTTAAACTTCTTGTCCTTAGATCTGGGATAAGGCAGATTCTTGTCCCTCGAGTAATTAAGTGCATTATTAAACACCGCTTTTGTTTTTTGTTTGTTTTTACATTATTGCTAGATCTAACCCAAAGTTATCATTCATCCTTTGAATCCACATAGCAAAACGGTGAGAGTTTCACCACCATACAATGGAAAGGCTGGCTTGTTGGAAAATATTTTTCCCAAAACAGAAAGAGAGAGAGGAGAGAGAAAGAAAAAGAATAAAACATCCAGGATGAAAAAAAGGAAAAAAAAAAATTCTTCCAGTTAAGTTTTCTTCCACCGTTAATCCGCACGAAAAGAGGTGTGTGGAATCCAAAGCGGTCTGTTTTCTCCCAATAAATATTTAAAATAAAAGTTCCAAGCTGTGAAGAAGGCAGTCCAGACTGGCAAGAGGTTCATCAGCTTTTTAGTCCAAGGAGATGATATCGGGAACGTTGCTCCCACCGCTGCTGCTGCTGGTGAGCACGGCCGTCTCGGTCCGGCCCGAAGAGCTAACGCGAGGGCTGCTTTCGACCGGGCTGGAGGAGGTGAGGAGGTTGCCAGATGTGGTATTTGCTGGCAAGGTCGAGGCGAGACTATCCAAAAACATAGGAGCACAGTACTGCTTGAAACAAACAATGGTGGAGGTAAGGGACAGAGACTAGATGCAAGGGGGGAGAACAGCACACGCACCTCAGCCACAGCTAGCCAATTACACCAAGGTTTAAAAAAAGTGTTTCTCAACGACATGATGCGTGGACTTCGACTCCCAGAATTCCCCAGCCAGCAGGGCTGGCTGGGGAATTCTGGGAATTGAAGTCCAGGCACCTTATAATTAAAGAAACACTGATCTGGACGGAGATTCTCAACCATCCAGGTCGTGGATTATCCCAAAGGTGCTTTTCGTTAAAAGGCAACTTGGGCCTTCTCGATTTTGGAAACGTTTTGCTTCGCATCCAAGTACCGAAGAAGTTTCCTGGGTGAGAAATGAAATGTTTTTTTTCAAGGGGGAAAAAAATACAAAACACCAAGAGGCCAGTTGCCTTTTGGAAAAGCACCTTTGGGACATTGAACTGGACTGAGACCACCCTGGTCGAGTCCAGAGCAGCAGTGGGAAAACTGCGAGACATCTACGCCAGTGTTTCCCAAACTTGACAATTTTAAGACAATTTTAAGACAATTTTAAGCGTTGCTGGCTGTGGAATTCTGGGAGTTGAAGTCCTCATGCCTTAAAATTGTCAAGTTTGGGAAACACTGATCATGCAAATAGACTCCTAGGCTTATAAACCCAGGAGGGGAGAGAGACTCATTATGGCAAGGGTCCCCAACCCCCGGTCTGTAGACTGGTACCAGCTGCGGCATGCCAGCAACCGCTCCGCACAAACAAGCAAAGCCCCATCTGCGGGATGCAGGCAGCACACAAAACCGCGCACCCTCCGGTCCGTGGGAAAAAAACCTCTCTCCACGGAACCGGTCCCTGGTGCCCAAAAGGTTGGGGACCTCTGGATTATAGGACCTTTCCCCCCAAATTTAGATAAAGCATTCCCGATTCCCGATAGCAAATGAAAACAAAAGCTTGATGCAATACAATAAAAATCCAAGGACTTTTTTTTTTTTTTTTAAAGAGAGAGGGTCAAGAGAACAGACATATAAGTGCATAAAAACAATCCCAAAGCCTGCCTAAGCCTAAGGCTTGGGGGAAAGAGCCAGCTCTTTTGAGGCTTGCTTGAAGACAAGAGGACCCAGATTGTTGGGGGCAATGTAAATATATATATACATTGCTTCCTGGTGTACACTGCTTAGAGAGTGCTTGCACTTAAAGCGGTATATAAGTCTCATAAATAAATAAATAAACAAAACAGGCTTGGAGAGGCTTGTCCAAATCTTCAAGTGGCAGAGGACCAACGCTGTGGCAGAAAAGGCACTCTGGACTCCGATAAGTTGGCACTGCTTACTAGATGCCAACCATGTCACAGCTTATGGGATGACAAAAAAAAAAAAAAAACACCCCTCTATGGGAGAAAGAATTGCCCCTTGAAAAACCTGGGACCCCATAAGTCAGGGATCCCCAACCTATGGGCCGTGGCCTATTAACCACAGGGCTGCGGGACAGTGCGCACATGTGTGCACCCACTCACGCTAGCGTCCACAGACCTGTTTGCGCATGTGTGAGGCTAGCAGCAGCGGCTAGCGCCTGCACACCATCACAAATGGCACCACTAGTGCAGGTTGTGTGGCCCATTTGTACATGCACGGAGGGCTTGCGGACGTGGCTAGTGCCTGCACGCCTGCACAAACAGGGCCACTAGTGCCATGCAGGTTGTGTGATGCCTTTGCGCCTGCGCATGGGGCCACTAGTGCCGTGCGGATGTGGTCCCGTTAACGTGCACGTCTCCACAGGGGCACAATTTTCCCAGGTGCTCCCTTTCCCTCCAGGCTGCCAGAATGAAAAAGTGGGTGACCTCTGCCACAGGCAAATGTTTAGCACCTTGAATTACATCCAGAGGTCTGCCAGTAGCCCCTGCGGCTTCCCTAGTAGAAATATCAAGAGGGGCGTAGTAACAAGGCCCATCCATTACTGCTGCATTCTGGGCTAGCTGTAACTTCTGAGAGAACAGTCCCCCTCTAAAGTGTGTTGGTAGTGGTCCAGATGAGAGAAAAATATCCTTACAACGAAACCAAATTGGCATTGACGTAAACTATTGGAAGGGCTCAGAAGCGGTATGGAGAATTTTGGAGAAGACATTGGATTTTACTGATCTATGGCAGGGGTAGGCAACCTTGGCTCTTTTATGACTCGTGGACTTCAACTCCCAGAATTCCCGAGCCAGCCATGCTGAGGGGAAAGGGAGAGGTCCCCAAGCTGAGTCAGGCTGGCTCAGGAATTCTGGGAGTTGAAGTCCACGAGTCATAGAAGTGCCAAGGTTGCCTACCCCTGGTCTATGGAAAGAATTGAAAGTCACAGTTAGAGGAAGGAACCCATCAAGCATCAAGACAACTGGAGCACTCTGCTCAATATAAAGTGCAGAAGTCTTAGAGCTGCAGAAAACGTCCAACTGCAGTTATTGTCCCCAAAAGGTAGGATATAAACTGTCAGATTTGGAATCCCAATCATTTACGTCTATGCCATTTTCATTTGCTTTCTTATTTACAAGAATGTGTTCGGTCAAAAAAGAGTCTGCTGTGGAATAAAAAAAAATGGTGTATGCCATGGATTTCTGTCGGTGTCAATTTTGCTTACGACAAATTGGAATTCTTTGGGGGTGGAGAAACAATTAAGAGGAACCCAATGCTTTTGGCCACATCTGTACAGCTGTGGATTGTTACTGTAGCGATCCCTCAACCCTGTGGCGTGGCTTCTCTGAGACCAGAGGTGTCCACTTTAAGTGTTGGCCACTTTAAGACTTGTGGACTTCAACTTCCAGAATTCTCCAGCCAGACTTCCCAGGCTCAGTCCAGGAGGATACCAGGACTGATGGTATCAAAAGCTGATGAAAGCTCAAGAAAAACTGGGAATCTACTCAGAGGCCATATATATTTAATAATAATAATAGAGTTGGAAGGGACCTTGGAGGTCATCTAGTCCAACCCTCTGCTCAGGCAGGAAACCTTATACCATTTCAGACAAATGGCTGTCCAGTCTCTTCTTTAAAACTTTCAATGTTGGAGCATTTACTGCTTCTGGAGGCAAGCTGTTCTACTGATTAATTGTTCTCACTGTCAGGAAGTTTCTCCTTAGTTCTAGGTTGCTTCTCTCCTTGGTTAGTTTCCATCCGTTGCTTCTTGTCCTGCCTTCAGGCGCTTTGGAGAAGAGCTTGACTCCCTCTTCTTTGGGGCAGCCCCTGAGATACTTAAACTACATGTCACCCCTAGTTTTCCTTTTCATTCAACTAGACATACCCAATTCCTGCAACCGTTCTTCATGTTTTAGCCTCCTGTCCCCTGATCATCTCTGTTGCTCTTCTCTGTACTGTTTCTAGAGTATTTATTTTGTATTGTTTTAATTATTATTATTTTCACATTTTATGCTGTATACTGCCCAGAGATGCTTGGGGAGGTGGAGAAAGCCAATAAATAAATAAACAGCTGCCCCCACCTCTCTTCCTGTCTTCTTGTCTGAGATAATGCAACGTTTAAACTAACATGTCTGGATGACAGAGAAATCACGGGAGTCGTGTAGTTTAATTGCACAGCCACAACTGTAGTGCTAGCTCTTCTCGGAGGCCTTCCAACTTCTCATTTCAAACTCATTCCAGCTTAAGTCAGATCTCTGTGAATGGGAAAAGCTGATCAGAAGCAGTTAAGGCCCTTACCTGTGGATCAACTGGGATTAAAGAGAGAAAATCCAAGCCTAAGGAGACAAGAAACACATGTGCCTTTGGTAAATACGTGTTGTACGAAAGGATATATGAGATGACATGCTGTGATCATGGATCACAGGAGATGAAAATGCTGAGGAAGGGGAGAAAATGCAAAACGTCCCTGAATCACCACACCCTCTGAGCGACCTGGGACGGGCTAAACTGCAAATAGTCCTCCGTTTACGACCAACAATTGATCCCCAAATTTTTGTTGCTGAGCAAAACAAGTTGTTAACTGATATTGGAACACTGCTATCCTGTCTCCCCTCGTCCTTCTTTTCATTAAACCAGACATACCCAATTCCAGCAACCGTTCCTTATATGCTTCAGCCTCCAGCTATGACTTTCTCTATTTATTATTATTATTGTTGTTGTTATTATTATTATTATGGATCATCGCAGTCAGCCAGATGTTCAGACTGGATTTGGCATTTTGTCTACCTATCGAGTCCTTACCCAGGACCTGGGATAGGCAGATGTGGATGTTTGATGGTATTACAGATATCGTCGCAGGATGGAAGCAGTTCCTAATAAGGCCGCCTTTTGCAATTGACTAATAGCGAATTTGTCAATGCCAATTGTGTTCAAGTGGTGCTCCAGTTGTTTTGGGATTGCACCCAAGGAGCCTATGACTATTGGTACTACCCTTGCTTGCTTTTGCCACAGTCTTTCTATTTCTATTTATAGGTCTTTGTATTTTGTTATCTTCTCCAGTTCTTTCTCTTCTATTCTGCTATCTCCAGGCACTGCCACGTCCACTATCCAGACTTTTTTGTCTTTCTTATCGACACTTGTTAAATCTGGGGTGTTATGTTGCAGGTGCTTGTCTGTTTGAATTCTGAAGTCCCAGAGCAGTTTAATTTTATCATTTTCTATGACTTTCTCTATTTTATGATCCCACCAGTTTTTGCTTACAGGCAAATGATATTATTATTATTATTATTATTATTATTATTACTACTACTACTACTATTATTATTATTATTACCACCACCTCCAACTCTCATCCTGTGATGCGTTGCAGCCCACAATCCCAATCGGTTCCAAAAACCGAACATGCACTTACCAGGCAAGTCAGACGAAATGCTGGATATGGGTGGATTGTGGAAGGGCACAGAGTAGCCTGTTAACGACGGGGCTATGGCTGTAGAATCCACCGTGCTGACGCCCGGGACTCGTACAGCTGCTGGCTGATACACAAGGACACTGGTTGGGGGGAGAAACAAACAAACAAACAAACAAAAGCCGGTGAAACGTTAAAAGAAACCAGAAGTTACCCGAAAGAGAGGTAAGGCAGCGTGCGACAGTGTCCTATTGTCCGTAAGGCCACCAGGGGGAGTCCTTACGTACGACAGTTCATTTAGTGACCGTTCAAAGAGATGACAGCACCAGTAAAAGAGGCTTAAGACCATTTTGCACACTTCATGAGCTTTGCAGCCTCCCCCGCGGGTCAGAGGAACAAAATTTGGACGCTTGGCAACTGACTCGTATTTATGACGGTCGCTGTGTCCCGGGGTCATGTGATCCCTTTTGGCCATCTTCTGACAAGCAGGAAGCCAGAGTCACTTAACAACCACGTGACCCACTTAACAACTGCCGCGATAAAAACGGGGCCAAACTCACTTAACAAATGTCTTGCTTAGCAACAGAAACTTTGGGCTCAATGACGGCCGTACGCCAAGGACTACCAGTGCAATATCACACCAAAAGCACTCAGGTCGGTCACTGGGAGAAGCCCAGATCTGTCAAGTCCAAATTTACATCTGTTCAAGGGGTCCAGCAGAGAGCTTGGCTGTTTCCCCGCAGACATTTCATTACCCAACTACAGGCAATCCTGGACTTACGACAGTTCACTGAGTGGCCGTTCCAAGTTACAACGGCCCAGAAAAAAAGTGACTTAGGACCATTTACGGCCACTGTAGCAACCCCCAGAGTCGCATGATCAAAATTCAGACGCTTCACAACCGACTCGTATTTATGACGGTCGCAGTGTCCCCGGGGTCCATCGCCTTTCTCCGACAAGCAACGTCGATGGGGAAAGCCAGAGGCACTTAGCAACCGCGTGACTAACTTGACCAGTGCAGGGATTCCCTTAACAACCGGGGCGAGAAAGGTTGTAAAATGGGCCAAAGACTCACTTGGCCCGTCTCCCTTAGCGATAGACATTTTGGGTCCAATTGGGGTCGTCGTAAGTCAAGGACTGCCCGTATCCTCCTCTATTGGTAAATGAGGAAGCTTCGCCCAGCTAAACCTGGTTCCTAAACCGGCTGGAGAGCCAGGAAAGCTCAACGCAAGACGGAGAAAAGGGACCCACAAGAGCCAGGGAGCCCCCCTGATCTCCAGGATCCCTCCCAGCCCATCCTCCCCAGCCGAGGAAAAGGAACCAACCCTTTCGTGGGACTCGCTTGGGTGTCCGACATGTAGATGCACTTCCGCTTGGGCGGGGCGTCCTCCTCTTCCTCGGAGGAACTTTCCACAGTCAGATCGATGACGTCCACCTTCTTCTTGCTGACCTCGCCGGCCGGGCTGGAGCCCTGCTTGCCCATCACGGCGGCCCCCGGAGCGTGCAGAACTGAGGGGGAAAGAGAGCAGCGGCCACTGAATGCGGCGGACTCGGCCTTCCGTCCTTCTGTGGTCAGTAAAAGGAGGACCCAGATCATCCCTCCCTCCCTCCCCTTCCTTTCATCCCTCCCTCTCTGAAGGCACAGTGGTTAGAATTGCAGGCAGACTCTGCCCATAGCCTGGAGTTTGATCCTGACGGGGCTCCAGGTTGACTCAGCCTTCCATCTTTCTGAGGTCAGTAAAAGGAGGACCCAGATCCATCCATCCATCCTTTCCTTCCTTCCTTTCTTCCCTCCCTCTCTGAAGGCCCAGTGGTTAGAATGCAGCATTGCAGGCAGACTCTGCCCACAGCCTGGAGTTCGATCCTGACGGGGCTCTAGTTTGATTCGGCCTTCCATCCTTTGAAGCTTGGTAAAAAGAGGACCCAGATCCATCCATCCATCCATCCATCCTTGCTTCATTCCTTCCTTCCTTCCTCCCTCCCCTCTCTGAAGGCGCAGTGATTAGAATGCAGTATTGCAGGCAGACTCTGCCCACAGCCTGGAGTTCGATCCTGACGGGGCTCCAAGTTGACTCAGCCTTCTGTCCTTCCGAGGTCAGTAAAAGGAGGACCCAGATCCATCCATCCATCCTTTCCTTCCTTTCTTCCCTCCCTTTCTGAAGGCCCAGTGGTTAGAATGCAGCATTGCAGGCAGACTCTGCCCACAGCCTGGAGTTCGATCCTGACGGGGCTCTAGTTTGATTCGGCCTTCCATCCTTTGAAGCTTGGTAAAAGGAGGACCCAGGTCCGTCCATCCATCCTTGCTTCCTTCCTTCCTCCCCTCTCTGAAGGCGCAGTGATTAGAACGCAGTATTGCAGGCTGACTCTGCCCACAGCCTGGAGTTTGATCTTGACGGGGCTCAAGGTTGACTCGGCCTTCCGAGGTCAGTAAAAGGAGGACCCAGAGGGTTGGGGGTAAATAGGCTGACATTGTAAATGGCTTAGAGAAGGCTGGAAAGTCCTGTGAAGCGGGACAAAAGTCTAAGTGCTGTTGCTATTGCTAACTTCACACTGTGAAATGCTTTGCAGTGATGCTCTCGTTCAGAGTTATGGTTTGCTGCTCTTCCACATTTCTTTCTTTTCTTTTTTTTTAAAGGCGGGGGGGAAATAGCTGCCTTTTGAGACTGGACAAGGGACCAGGAAAGAACCAAGGATCCATTTATCCATTTAAGAGGAAGGCCATTTTCAATGGGACACCCTCCCCTTTTGCAACCAGTCGGTTCTCCTGTCTATTTTGTCTTTCTTCAGACTCATTTTAACTGCAGTTAACGACATATTCTCCCTGAAGTCAGAACAGAATCTGTGTTCTTAGCCAAAGCTTCCTTCCTTTGAGAGGGGGGATGGAAAGCAGGTATTTACTGGAGTTTGTCAAAGAAGGGAAAAAAAAAACACATTTGTGCATACAGTGCAACAGTCACACCAATGGCAACAGGGTAAGCCACTTGTCATGTGTCTGATTAACAAAACACTTCAAAGAACTTTCAGGCATTTTTTTTTTAACCTAAAAAGCCTTTATTAGTGTTACAGAGATGTCAGCACGGCATGGTGGAAATGCCAAGATCTGAATTTCCCGTCCTTTGCACATAACATTCCAGGCATTTCTCGTCCCCTATTTTGGGGTCATGGTTCACATCTTCCAATTAACTGGGAGGGCAAAGATTCACTTCCGTTTCTTTTTCCCGGGCTTTTCTTATATTCTCCTCCCCTTTCGCTGTCACCTGATTTAACTCTAAAAATACCAGACAGTTCTGCATATATTGTCAAAGCAAGAATATTTAATATTAGCAGCGTTGACACCACTAGTATATAAAGCAAACCCCACTCCCTTCTAGCACTGATAATGTTACCTAGTTGGGTAATGAAACGTCTGCAAGGGAACAATCAAGCTCAGAGAGCTGAAGGACCCACAGTACAGGTAATCCCCAAGTTACAAGCATTCCCTTAACGCTCGTTCGAAGTTACGAGAGGAGCACCCCCTAGTGCTTGCGGCACCACGGCAGTCGTTCGCCCTTCCGAGCGACCAGAGGCACTTCGACACTCACCCTGGCTATTCCCTCCCTCCCTGGGTACTCATCTGGCAAAGATCCAGATCCTTCGCTTACTCAGCTACTTGGCCTTCGGTGTGTTTGCGGAGAATGGAGGTCGAAAGTAACACTAGATCACATGGGATCAGTGGGGCGAGATCTCACGCTATGCATCTCGCTTGATCTCATGGTACTTTAGGCCTCTGTTCTCTGCAACATAGAACCGAAGCCGTGGGATACTTCCGTGGCGCTACAAAGGCTGGATCTGGGCGTTGGAGGCCTTTTCCGGGTTGCTGCCGTCCGCATGTGACATCGTGGGACACTTCCGTGGCCCAATCCAGGCTCCGGAGACCTTCTCCAGGCCGCTGCCGACTAGATCAGGCCGCCGAAGGGAAGCAACCCTCGGCCTCACTTCCAGATGGCAGCAATCTGGAAAAGGCCTCCGACAACCCAATCCGGTCTTAGATCCGCGGAAGCATCACCCGGCCTTAGATCCAGGCGGCAGCAGGAACCATGGCAGAGAGGAGACAGATCTTTTCCAGGTGAGTCTGGCGCGGCAGAAAGGGAGGTATGAGGTATCCTAGAGGATTGGGGAGACCTTGGGGGCCTGTTCTATCAGTAGGCCCCCCCATGGCCTTCCCCACCCTGAGATACCTCATGTGCACCTAAGGAGCTGCTTGCGTCTTAACGAGCAAGGAAATGACCTTGTTCGAGGTACGAGATTCACTCCGAGTTTTCGAGTTACGAGTGGAATGGGAAAGCTCCATTACAGGCATAACTTGAGGATTACCTGTACTGACAGAGTTTCTTCTTGAGGTGCAAAAATGGCTATTGTTTTTACCTGGGTCCAACTTTTGCTACATTTTCCTCCTTAAAATGAATCACACCCAGTTCCACAATGGGACACTGTTGGGGACAATTATGTCAAAAAGACTTATACCTCTCTAGTCATCCAGAAAATATAGAGTTTTCATCATCATATTTTCATTTCAATCTCTGCTGTAGTGCAAAGTTTATTTTTAGGATCTCTGAGAGTACGTTCCCTGTTCCTTTTTTGTTTTATTTAATGAATAAAAGGGGCGTTGTCTTACCTGAACACCTTTTCTCAGCATGACGATGGAGAATCCACCAATGGGTTCTGCTTGTCTTCTGCCCGTAGACTAAGTCAGCCAATTTTGCCACGCCTCTCCTCCTGGGTCCTCCCTTTCCCAGTCTCGACTGAGGTGAAGCTGTTGGCTGTGTTTCCGGTGTGTTGGCTCAATCTTTTCCCAGCACAGGACCTGACTGGCCCTAAGGGTGGGAGTGGATTCTCCATCGTCATGCTGAGAAAAGGTGTTCAGGTAAGACAACACACCTTCTCCAGCATGACGAGTGGAGAATCCACCAATGGGACGTACCAAAGCCACACTGTCTCTGTGGGTGGGAAGCCGTCTGGGCCTGTGTCCCACTCCCTGACACTATGCATTGGAGGACCCTCCTGCCAAATGAAGCCTCTGCCGCAAACTTATCTAGCTTGTAGTATCTTATAAAAGGGGAAGGTGACGCCCACGTCGCCGCCCTATATATTTCCTCAATCGGTGCCTGAGTCACTCACACTGCTGATGTTGCAGCGCTGCAAGTGGAGTGGGCAGTGATTTGTCTAGGAACTGCTAGTGACTGCTCCTGGTATGACTGTGCTATGCACCTCCGGATCCACCTGCCGATTGTGGATGCTGTGACCCTTTGACCCCTTGAGTGCGAGTGGAAGGAAACAGGGCCTCCAATTTACGGAAGGGTGCCGTTCGCTGTATGTATTGCCTTACGGCCCTGTGAACGTCCAAGGTGTGCCATTTGCGCTCCAATTCATGGGAGGGCTGAGGGCAAAAATCTGGTAGCATCACCTCTTGTACCCTGTGGAATAGGGAATTGACCTTGGAAATGAAGGACGGGTCCAGGCGTAAGACCACCCTGTCAGTATGGAAGGTACAGAGATCTTCTCTAACTGATAGTGCTGCCAATTCTGAAATGCGCCTTGCCGAAGTAACGGCGACTAGAAATGCGACCTTAAGGGTCAGGTACTGCAATGTGCAGGTCCGGATAGGTTCAAATGGAGTAGAGGTAATGGCCTGTAGGACCTTAGACAGATCCCAGGAGGGATATCTGTGCACCATAGGTGGTCTGTTGTTTGTTGCACCCTTAATAAAGGCTCACACCACTGGGTGTTTGGCCAGTGGTTCAGAGTTGCCATGTGAGAATAGTGGACAGGGCGGCTGTCCACTATTGGGTGCTAAGCCCCTGTCTAGACCCTCCCGTAAGTAGTCTAAGAGCCTTGGAATAGTGATACTAAAGGAGTCTAGCTGCTGCCTTGTGCATCAACTGCAGTAATTTCTCCATGTGGAATCGTAAATTCTGTTAGTTGTAGGCCTTCTTGAGGCCTGGATTGTCTTAATGACTCTTTGTGAATAGTTCTCCCCTTCTAAGAGGCTCCGCTCAAGTGCCAGGCGGCTAGTTGGAGCCACTGTGGCTCTGGATGCAGTAGAGTCCCTGGCTGAGTGAGATTTGATCATGCGGAATCCTCCACGGCAGGGATGCAGAAAGGCTTACGAGGTCGGCAAACCACGGCCATCTTGGCCAGTGTGGTGCAATGAGAATTCCCTCTGCTTGTTTCTGCAATATCTTTCGGATGGTTGCTTGTATCAGAGGAAGCGGTGGGAAAGCATATAGCAACCCTTCCGGCCAGTATCCCCGAAGCGCATCTGCTCTCTCCGCCCCGATAATGGAAAACGGGAGAAGAACCTCAGGAGCTGAGCATTTTTGGGGCTGGCAAATAGGTCCAGTACTGGGTTGCCGAACCTCTCTGATGCCTCCCTAAAGAGAGCAGGGTGCAGGATCCACTCTGAGTGGTTTATTGTCGCCCTGCTCAGGAAGTCCGCCTCTTGATTTGCTTCTCCTGATATATGCTCGGCC